TGACCTGCTGCTGCGAGGTGACAATGCTAACCACTGAGCCACCGTGTTGCCCCCAATATGGAACATATATTCTCATTTAAATAAGACATTAATTTTATATATTTATATTATAAGTAATTCTCTCAACATAATGAAAACTCTGAGAAAATTCAAAATATAATGGCATTGTAGCTCATCATTATGACAACTCCAATCAATTTAACAAGATTAACCATAAACAAGTTTTCTTTGACTTGCTGGATAAGTTTTTTTTAACTTATGTGACAAAAACAGACTTTTACTGTTTTCATCAACTGCAGATGACTTTTTTCATTCATTCATTCATTCATTCATTTTCTTTTTGGCTTGGTCCCGTTATTAATCTGGGGTCTCCACAGCGGAATTAACCGCCAACTTATCCTTTGTTTTACGCAGCAAGTCCTGTTCTAGCCACAACCATCACTGGGAAACCCATACACACTCATTCACACACATACACTATGGACAATTTAGCTTACCCAATTCACCTGTACTGCATATATTTGGACTGTGGGGGAAACCGAAGCACCCGGGAGAAACCCACGCAAACGCAGGGAAAACATTCAACTCCACACAGAAACGCCAACTGACCCAGCTGAGGCTCGAACCAGCGGCCTTCTTGCTGTGAGGGGACAGCACTACTGCGCCACTGAAATATTTCTTTTTATTTGCAATGCTTGTAAAATCACTGATCAGTTTCCCCAAAAATTTTAGATGCTTAATTCACAATAAAAATGACAGGTTGGGGAAAGTTAATTTTGAAAGTACTGCTTTACAATATTGAGTTACTCCCCTCCCCCCCAAAAAATAACTAGTTGCATTTTTTATGTTACTTTTGCATTTCTTTTTATTAGCTGGGTGAGGCTTTTTTCTTTTTTTAATAGAAGAGTTCTGCAATTAACAAAGCACTGTCTATCCTACAGCTACATTTACCTTTAAAAAGCATATCAAAAAATATTTTACAGTGTAAGTCAAAATTATTAACCCCCCTGATTTATTAGCCCCTCCTGTTTATTTTTTCCCCAATTTCTGTTTAACAGAGAGAAACCTAATAGTTTTAATATTTCATTATTAATAACTGATTTATTTTATCTTTACCATAATGACAGTAAATAATATTTGAGTGGATATATTTAAAGACACTTCTATACAGCTTAAAGTGACATTTAAAGGCTTTACTAGGTTGATTAGGTTAACTAGGCAGGGTAGAGGAATTAGGCAAGTTATTGTATTGGCTAATAATGTTAAAATTGTTCATAAAAAGTTAAAAACTGCTTTTATTCTAGCCGAAATAAACCAAATAAGACTTTCTCTAGAAGAAAAAATATTATCTGACATACTGTGAAAATTTCCTTGCTCTGTTAAACATCATTTGGGAAATATTTAAAAGGGAAAAAAAATTAAAGGGGGGCTAATAGTTCTGATTTCAACTGTAGGATCGTGTTATCTGAGAACTTCCTGACCCCAGAGCTATACATGCCATTTATACAGATAATTTAATGCATACATTTAATACATATTAATGTATTAAATACATTTAATACAGTAATATAGTTTAAAGCAATGTGTTTGCTTCTTTTTACTATTTATCTTAAGGAAAAATCACTGTCCATTGAGACTGTAATCCCCTTTTTCTTTTCTTCGATGCGTTCAAAATTTTGATTCTCTCATTGACTGTGTGATTCATTGTGACTACTTTAATATCAATGCAGCAATTTATTAAACTAAAAAGTAATTCCCATTTACATTTTCCCAAAAGTAACTTAAATATTATTACTTTTTTTTAAAGTAATGCGTTACTTTACTCGTTACTTAAATAAAGACTTAACTCACGTTACATGTAATGCGTTACCCCCAACACTGAAAATAGCTGGATTTTACTTTATTAGTCACACTTTTAAATATCAGCTGACCCCTATATCAAGTTTCTTACACTATAGCATTAAAGAGTCTGGTTAGATGTCATTTCGAGATGTTCTCACACCATATCACAAGGATATTTTTGGGCAGAGCAAAAAAATAAATCACCTTCGTGAGCAAAGCCTCCACGCGCCTTAAGAGTGCTCCTGCAATGCACAGAAATGTCTGAACTCTGATGACTGATGTCTTGTACTTGGGAAACCGACAAGGGTTTTAAGGATCATGCAGAGCACTGATATGTATTTCAAAGCCCTTTGATTTTGGAGAGAAGCTCAGCTCTTGAATTACTCTAACTGAAGGATGTCGTAATGTCTCCTGACATATATCCACATGACTCTGAATTAGATCCTCTTTTCCGGTCCCAACACCCCTATATCCCATAAACACACAGGCGCACACACACACACTCTTCCCCTCTATTAGGCTCATATTAACCACAGGAAGGCCAATGGCACTCGCTGCTTTGATCCCCCAAGGAGAATCAGGCCTATTAAACACAACAAAACACACCACCAGTTGTTCTAAATTTTTACTGTATTCTATTTTGTACTTATCTACTCAATCCTATTCTATACTCACGCTTGCCTTGTTATGAGATTCTGCTGTATTTTATTCAATTTTCCTGGAAGAGAGCATTTCAAGTATTAAAAACAAGAACAGATAATTCACCAAAATGTATACTGCCATCATATATTCATGCTCACGTTTGTTGTTCCATAGTTTGTTCCATTATTCTATTCTATTCTATTCTATTCTATTCTATTCTATTCTATTCTATTCTATTCTATTCTATTCCATTGTCTCTTAAGATAACATTTAAAAGCAGTTCACCTAAACATAAATTATATCAATCACTTATCCTCTTGTTGATTAAATATTCTATTCTATTCTATTCTATTCTATTCTATTCTATTCTATTCTACTGTCTCTTAAGATAACATTTAAAAGCAGCTCACCTAAACGTTAATCATATCAATCACTCATCGTCTTGTTGATGAAAAATTCTATTCTATTCTATTCTATTCTATTCTATTCTATTCTATTTTATTCTATTCTATTCTATTGTCTCTTAAGATAACATTTAAAAGCAGCTCACCTAAACATAAATCATATCAATCCCTCATCGTCCTGTTGACGAAATATTCTATTCTATTCTATTCTATTCTATTCCATTGTCTCTTAAGATAACATTTAAAAGCAGTTCACCTAAACATAAATTATATCAATCACTTATCCTCTTGTTGATTAAATATTCTATTCTATTCTATTCTATTCTATTCTATTCTATTCTATTCTATTCTATTGTCTCTTAAGATAACATTTAAAAGCAGCTCACCTAAACACAAATCACACTGTATCAATCACTCATCGTCCTGTTGACGAAATATTCTATTCTATTCTATTGTCTCTTAAGATAACAATTAAAAGTAGTTCACTTAAACATAAATCATATCAATCACTCATCATCTTGATGAAAAATTCAAATCTATTCTATTCTACACCATAATAATAATTTTTAAAGGGATGGTTTATTCATTCACTCATCCTCTAAAAATCCTATTCATTGATATATTCATTGATGATAAATATGATCTGTCGTACAAGATGTTAGATTTCCATATTTAGCATTATCAGCAAACGTAGCAAGGATCATTTTTTGTTTTCAATATTTCCTTTTTTTTCAGCTTATTCTTTCTTGATTTTTATTAAAATTACAGGTTCTACATTGTTTGTTAGATGCAATTGTTTTTGCAGTAAAATTTTTGTGGAAAAGGAAAGCAAATGACATTTGTTTCCTTCCTTTTTTGCTGACCCGAAAAATGGTCCCATCCGTGACTCAAAAACCGCGGTGTTATCTGAACTGTAAGATTTGTAATCCGTTACACCCACTACCCTAAACCCAACCAATAGTGTTTTCAAAAGCACAGATTGACCAGCCCACCCACTTCCATAAACCCAACTGACAGTTTTCAAAAGCCATCGCCAGATTTTTACCACAGTTTCAGATTTTACCACATTCTCACCCTGTTATTTACTTGTTTATTTAATGTTTAATGATTTACGTCTTACCCGCTTTCTGGAACAGTTCTTTGCCGGACTCAAACCCTGTCAACATGGTCAACTTCTCTTTCCATCTCAAGTCCGCTGACATACAAGGTGAGCCACTAGACAAACTGGTAACAGTGGGGAAAGCCGTCCATAAGGAAGTAAGCAGTCAACTGCTAGCGTGAAAAGGATGTCATACGGCCCCGCAGCGTTCGTTCTAAAGACAAAATGCATTCATACGTACCTTTGGCTACATAAATCGCGATCTCCTGAAATTTATATACCGTAGAGCTAAATTTTCATTATGAGCCTATGTTGTTTTTCTCATGGGGATTACAAACATGTCCCCACAAGGCCTAAAATTGCTGTTATTGCTATACTTGCAGAGACATTTAGTCCCCACAACGTGATGAATACCAAGAAACACACAGACAACTAGCGTCATTCTGATTCCCTTCCTCTCCATTGGGCTCATATTAAACACAGGAAGGCCAGTGGCACTCGCTGCTTTGATCTCCCCAAGGAGAAGTCGGCCTCTCAGAAGCAGGCATATTAAAACACAATGTCTGGCAAGCGACGGACTAAATTAGAGGACACTGGGCGCTCACTGAGAGGCTCATGCTGTCTGAATATGAATGACAGGATGGTGAACAAGAGCCTCATGTGTGATGGGTGTTACGCAGAGACGCTGTGGTGTTAAAGTAATTCTATAAATGTGGAAATGACTAAAGCAATCACGTCGGGCACTTTTCATCAGGAATATAATCAGGGGGGGAAAAAAATCATTTTCTATTACCCAGGGGGTAATGAGAAGTCATTCATGTTTCACTTGGCAAAACAAATAGGTTTCGCATATTTGTGTTTATTAATGCTTTCGACAAAAGGTTTCTTTTAGACGGCAATTTCAGTTTTTATTGTTAACAAAGAAAGCAAAATACAATTCAATCTGTTTTCTTTCATATTTCTGCATTTGATGGACAGTTTGATAACTGTGAGTACAATCAAAAGAGACTTACCCACAAATTCGTCCGTACTTGTTTATGAGGTCAGCTTGAGACTTAAAGAAACCCTGTGCAAAAAGCAGAAAGTTTATGAAAACGTTAGAAGACAAGTTGATATTCAAGTTACACAAGTGATTTATTTTATTTTAGAGACTATTAAATTCCACAACCATGAGAATTATAAATTGAATGACCAATTCCTTTTTGCATTGAAAGTATTACTTTAATGGTGAAACCTAAAGTAATGGTCCATGTATTACATGTATTTTGTAACATGAACAATTCATTTATTACAATATTTATTAGTGTTAGTTACTGAAAATAAAGTTGTTTATTGTTAGTTCTACTTTATTCACACAGACTGTTAACTTTAGAGTGTAGTAACACATTAGAAAATGTTGAACTGTGATTATTAAATGCAGAACAACTATTGTTCAGTCCTAGGTCATGTTAGTAAACTGACCATTATTTTAAATTGTTACTGATTCGGTCACACTTTATTTTGAAGTATAATTCTCTCTATTGGCAAACCATTTATTATGACTATTAGCTAAATAAGCTACAAATTTGCTGATTTTTAATAGTTATTAGGGTAGTGGTTTGGTTTAGGTATTGGATCAGGAATGAAGAATGTAGGAATGTAGAAAAGTTTAGACTTTATAACTACAAACAGACAATAAATATCTTATTATTAGGTAGGTTGGTTAATAGTGGAAATAGTACTTAAAAACAGAAACAGAAATTATATCAATCACTCATCCTCCTGTTGATGAGAATTCTGTCCTTTTTTCTATTCTATTCTATTCTATTCCATTCCATTCCATTCCATTCCATTCCATTCCATTCCATTCCATTCTATTCCATTCTCTCTTAAGAGAAACAATCTTTTTCCAATTAGCAAACCATTACCTATGATTATTAACTAAATAAACTACAAATTTGCTGCTTATTAATAGTTATTAAGGTGGTAGTTGGGTTTAGGTATTGGTAGAATCAGGATTGTAGAAAAAGATTAGACTTTATAATTATACACTGACCATAAATATCCTATAAATAGGTAGGTTACTTAATAGTAGGAACGGTACTTGAACTAAAGTGTTACTGATAATTTTTGCTGTAAAAAGGCCAGACAGTAATTGTTTACAAACAAGTATTACACTAAATGACATCTGTTTTGGTAGAAAAAATCATTTTAGCTAAAAAAAAAAAAATTAAGTTTTTATTTCTTATTCTGGTGTTTTATGTTTCTTTTATTGTGGTTTGTAAAGCACTTTGGATTAATATTGTGTATGAAATGTGCTATATAAATAAACTTGCATTGCCTTGCCTAAGGAAAAAAAAAAAAAAAAAAACAGGACATGACACGTTCTGTATCCCCAGCACCCATCACATAATTTAGAGCTATTATCATCTAATAAATAAGACTAGACCAGAACTTATTCTGTTAATGAAGTCTCTCAAAGCTGTGAAAGATGTAAAAGCTCTGTCTGTTGTAAGTTATTATGAATCAGTATTTGCCGTCTTGTGAATCTCTTCCTTTTGTTGTGTTTATTTTGTTAAGTTTTTTCTTTTTATTCGAATTTCAATTATCTTTGGAACTTTAGTTTTTGATATCTGTTTTTGCTGTAATTGTACATTACTAATGCACTAATAACTAATGTGCTCTAATAACTTATAACTTATTAAGGCACACAATTAAATAAACAAACAAACAAATAAATAAATAAATAAGTATCAAATAAATAAATAAATAAATAAATAAGACAAGAGCTCCCTGTGCAAAAGCAGTATAAGCAGACAGTCAACTAATACTCAAATTCATTGGCATTTATGTACCTTTAGTCATCAAAATGTGCAATAGGAAGCATCAAAATAAAGTCTTAGCGAGTTTAATAATACATTAAACAATCTTGAACGATGATTAATATATGCAGAACAAGTATAGTTCATTGCTAGTTACCGATTTGATCACACTTTACTTTGAAGTATAATTATTACTATTAGCACACCATTAACTAGTTCAATAAACTAGTAATTTGCTGCTTATTACTAGTTATTAAGGTAGTAGTTGGGTTTAGGTATTGGGTAGGATTAGAGATGTAGAAAATGATCAGACTTTCTAACTACTATAATAAACAGCCAATAAATATCTTATTAACAGGTAGGTTAGTTATTAGTGGGAACGGTACCTAAAAGTGTTCTGATGATTCTTGCTGTCAATAGGCCAGAGAGTAGTTGTGATCCCACTATAACGTACAATTCATGCTATTAACAAGCCATTCAGTAAGACTTTAAGCTCAATAAACTATTAATTAGCTCCTTAATAAAAGATAGTAATGTAGTAGTTGGGATTTAGTATTGGGTAGGATGTGGTCATACTTAATAAGTGCTATAATAAACAGTTATTATCGTAATATTAGGCAGGTAATAAAGTCAGTAGTAAGTGGTGTTGCTTGTTTTACTGTAGTTGTTCATATGTAAAATATTGTTACATTAAATCTTTCATGGCAAAAATGTATGACAGTCGTTTGCTGTTCTATCCAGTCGTTTGCTACAAAAAAAAAGAAAGCAACTAAACAGGACACATTTTAATGTATCCCCAGTGCCCATCATGTAATTTAAAGCAATTATCATCTATTAAATAAGACTAGACCTCCCTGCACAAAATAGATCATTCTCTACAGTATTACTACAGATTGAACACAAACAACAGTGCGCAACTGCACTCATCTACCAGTAGGAGACAGGATAGAGCAAAAATCATTAACTGTACTCCTCTCTTTCTCTCTCTCTCAAGGTTTATGGGCTCTCTAAAGGTTTATTGAGGTCTACTGAGAATATTATCCTGAAATATCCAGAACCATAACACAATAACATGAATATCATTATATCCCCATTTAAAATTGAAGAATGTATTAAACTCTGCACACAGGGCTGCTGAGATTGCACTGTGTTTATAGAGTGGAGATAAGTTACACAACAAAGCAAACAATGAACATCAAATCTGACTGTTAAATGCACACACACACAAACACACACACACACACGCATACAGTACATGCATGCAAGGAAAAAAGTGCTAGTTTGGTATGCATGGCAGCCGGTGGCTCTGCTGTCTCTACTAATGAAGGAGTCGACAGCGCTGGCACCAGAGCGCCTGCCCTCCCTTCTCCATCCCACCATTCCTGCAGTCTCCCTGGTGGGCATTAGGCAGGGACGCGTGTGTGTGTGTTCCTCACTGAGCATTAAGCAGTGGGGTGTGCCCTTCTGTCCTGATGTCCTCTCCTTCAGCCTTTTATTACTGCTCTGTCATATGGAAGAGGCTGCGTGGGCATTAGTGATTGGCGATGTGGCTTTAAAACTATGTAAGGAATAATTAACAACGGGCCATTGAATTATTATGAAGTAATGCACACCTCAGGTGGAAATGTGGTCATGGCTTGGAGCAGAGTGGGTGTTACACTTTGGGTGTGTGTTATTTGCGAATTCTGCAAAAGGACTGAAGCCAATAATTGCTATTAAATGTCGATTACCACACCGAAAAACAAAACATTGTTAAAAATAAAACTAGAACTAATTGTTAGAATTAACTGTTAATGTTGCCAATTTAACTTTGTATTTTAATAAAGTGACATTTATTGACATTTAAGTTTAGCTTAAAACAATATATCGCAACCCAGGCTCATTTTGAAAATATACAGCTATATAGATTTCTGGAGAGCGCCAAATACATCCTAGCAGCTAAGTTTTTTTGCAATTTGTTTTCACAAATCCACCAGAGGTCGCTGTATACGCTTTTTGAGATCTCAGATTTCTGTCGCAAGTGTCATTCGTAAATCCACCAGAGGCCGCTGTCGACTGACTGACCGTTCGACTGACCTACCCTCCTCTTTACCTAAACCCAACCAATAGTGTTTTCAAAAGCACAGATTGACCCGCCCACCCACTTCCCTAAAGGCAACCGACTGTTTTAAAAAGCAATCCAGAAAAACAAAAGCCCTTGCCTAATTTTATACCACGTTTTCAGATTTTACCACATTCTCATCCTGTTATTTACTTGTTTATTTTATTTTTTGGCTTTTGTTTTTGTCTTCTGGAACCATTCTTTACCAGACTCGAACCTTGTTGTCATGGTCAGCTCCTCTCTGCATCTCAAGTCCACCGACGTACATGGCGAGCTACTGGACAAACTGGTAACAGCGTGAAAAAAAATGGCGTCCCATTAACCCGTAGCGCTTCTTTTAAAGATGAAATACTTCTGGCTACATATAGTTTGCGATCTCCAGAAACATATATAGAGCTACATGTTGATAAATTGTATAATAAATTATATTTACAATCTAAAAAATATCTGTTAAAATTTTTGTAATTTGGTGTTTTCCGTTTATTTACAGTTGTGTATTGCATTATGGTTCTTGATCTCTGCTCTGTCGACTTTTGATGTTGAAAATCCAACTCTACAGTTTAACAAAGACACTTTTATTGACATTTAAGTATTGAGTAGTAAGTGAAATTGTATGTTAGTAGTAGTAAAATTATATGTATACTATAAAGAGAATTAAGTCTGTAAAATAACAGTTAATGTACTTGTAGTTAATTACAAGGTTTTCGTAGCGTAATTTACAACACCAACGTCAATGTGTTTGAATGTATATAAAGTTGTGTGTTCATAATGGAACATGTTTTATTCAAGCTACTGTTGAAGCCTAGAAGAAAGAAGATGCTTGATAAAACTTAAAGACACTAAAAGCATAATTGTTCTAATATCTGGTTTATTTATCTGGTGCTCCTCATGACATGCTGGGTATTTATTTTATTTTATTTTATTTTATTTATTATGCAATACTTATCAACACTGCAGTGCAGAATGCTATAAAGTAGTGTGATTACTTCCTTATCTATGATGTGAAACCACATCTGGTCAAAAGTTTTGTTCAAACACTCAAATAACAATGCTTTCAAATAAACTATGCCAGTAATTTCTTTTATTTATAGAAAGGCTCATTTTCATTGCATTTAGTATATGGCACTGTACAGCACTAAACAAACCAGTTTCAGATTGTAGAGG